GCTCCACCCACCGCACGCCTCCCGAGTCACAGCCTTGAAGTCTCCGTCCCGCTCACGGGTCTCACCTTGAGCGTCCTCTGGTCTGTCAGCAGTCTCTCCCGAGTGGACGTGAAATGCTCCTCGACTCTCCGCAGAGCTCGGTCGTGCTCCTCAATCAGAGCCGCCTCTCGACTCTTCATCCTCTCGTCGAGCTCGGCGACCGCCGCCTGACGCTTCTTCTTCTCCTCCTGGATCATCATCTGCATCTTCTTATGATACTTCACCTCGATGTCTGCGCAGGGAGGGAAACCGCAGCAGAGGTTATGAAGGAAGATGAACGGAGAGGAAGGAGTACACGTGGGGGAAAGGAAAGGAAACGAGGAGATCGGTGTCCCGGGGCTGAAGGGTCACCTGATCGGCGCCGAGCTCACAGGTGTTCTTACCTCTGATCCTGTGCTCGTAGTGGTTGGTGAGCTCCATCAGCTCCGTCTGATGTTTCTGTGAAGGAGGAAGTGACATCACCGAGGTGTCCAGGTGTGAAAGTGTTAAATGGATTTAGGGGCAGCGGCTCACCAGCTGCAGCGCTTTGACGTGGCTCTCGATGTGGAACTTCTTCTCCGTGAGCTCCGCCTGCAGACCCTGAACGTTTCTGTGCAGCGTGATCTCAGACTGCACGTGCTTCTTCTCGACCAGCGAGGACGCAGAGACGTCCTCCATCTTCAGCTCAGTGATGGCGTTGTGCTGCTCCGACAGGACGTGCTTCAGCTTCCGCTTGTAGACCTGGACAGTGACCAAGGACGGCTCAGGACTAAGACTAAGTTGAGATAAAGTCAGGATTAGGGCACAATAAACCTCCAGCTCACTTCGATCTCGACTCGGTGGCGCTCCTCAGCCTCATCTCTCTCCCGGCTCCTGTTCCTCAGCTCGGCCTTCGTCTTGTCCAGGTTCCTCTTGGAGATCTCCCAGAAGGCCTGGATCTTGTCTCTCTCCAGCTGGAAGTAGCTCTTCTCCTCTTGCTCGCGGTCCAGCTCCTCCCGGAGGTGGATGATGTGTTCCTCCAGCTGGAGGTCAGACACACTCAGGTCACTGAAACGTACCGCTCAAAACTGCAGTTTGCAGGAAATACACAGAGCC